CCTTTTCTGTGAATAACTTGGCGTTTTATCATTTTATTAAATGATAAAACAAAGATGATGAAATGGAAACTTTCACATGTTTTGAAAGTATCTAAGGAGGTATTTCGGGGCAGAATGATGTTCTTGCCTGGCTTAAAGGGGCATCTGAGGGCCTTCTAGCTCTGTGAACGTAGCCCTGTCTCCCCTGCGACAACTAGAAGGCAACATCTCTGTTTCACTGTGGGTGGATCAACCTTAAACCACAATTTGTGTCTACATCGCCTCCCTCCCACTAGCATATGCCTCTGGTTGGTAGACAGTAAGTCAGTTAGGGCTTTCCTCTGTGTCGATCTCGAAGCTTTCATACCAGGAGAGAGAAGTGTTAAAACTCTACATTCTCACTTCTGACTCACTGATTTAACCACATTGAGGCAGGACCAGCAGCAGAATACTCCTGTGGTGTAAATCTGTTTTCCAAAAAAAAAAAAAAATAGCAAGACAACAAGAAAAAATAAAATAAAATGCAGGGTCTTCTTGAAATGCAGTTTCTCCATCAGAGCTAGGAATGTGATAAAAGCCTAGCTTGTTTGACCGTGATAGTGCTATGGGAAAGGACAAAAAGCCAAGGGTGAGCTGGGTGGAGTCTGTGTCTTGGTGGACGTCATTGGTTGCTGGCTTGTTGAAGTGGACAGTGGTTATTCCTCTCCTTCGACACCAGCTCACCCCAACAGTCATCATCAGCCAAGAGTATGTTTGTGAAAGAGGGCATGTTATCTTCGAGGCTTAATGCCGAGTCGATACAACTCCACCACCCTCCCTTACACCTCACGTTCTGAGGAACATGTATATCCAACCTACGCTGTCAAACTTTTAGCACCTGCTATTTGGCTTCAGTCCCTCAGGTTATGTCAATTCCTCTGGCGTTGCAGGAGGATGGGCTCAGAGAAGTGGGTCAGCAACGGTTGATGCAAAAATGGGGATGAGGGTGAGGCTTGGACTGGACTGTCCTCTGCTTTTGGTAATTGCTAGCTGCGTGTTTGTCCCGCGACAACAGTCTGCATAAAAGTGCAGATGTTATTCAGATCCCTGTTTGTAGTCGGTGCAAATCATTACAACAAGAATTCAAAGTATTAAAGAGTGGATAAAAATAGGTACCTATTTCTTCATTTAGCTGCTGGAAAACATGCAAAACTTGGAGATGTGTCACTCATTAGTGCTTGGAGAAGATTAAAAAAACTCATCCAACATGGCAAGCACAGATCCTGCCTTCCATAATTGTACCTGCTGCTTTTCCCAAAGGTCCTGGGTGACACTTTCTTTAATGCAGTAATCCAAAAATCATGTCGCCATACCGCAGGGAATCCAATAGGGCGAAGCAGCTTCAATCCTATTTCCCTGAATGCAACCGGTATGTCTTATTTTTCTGAGATTTGCCTTAACACAGTGAATTATTGTTGCCCACATCTCCAGATACATTGCTGCAGTAATCCACTGCTCATCTCACATACCGGAAAAAGAAATCAGGACCAAACCATGAATGTACAGAGCAGCATGACATTGAGACTGAGCTGATGCAAAATAGGGCTGAACACGTTTTTTATGCAATCTGCTGTATATGAATGCATTTTGATGATTTCCGATGTGCTGCGTTGTAGATAAAGTAGATGGAGAGAAATCCTGCAGCCCTCACTCTCCAACTGACAGGGACAAGTCACATTCTTGTGATTATTTTCTCTGCATAATTCTCAACGTATTTGTTTTTTCTTCAAAAGATGCAAAAAAAAATCAGACAATTATTTTATGCTAACAAATGCTTCCTGCTTGCAAGAGAAAACCTTGTGCCGGTTAAAAATGAAGGAGACAATGAGATCGGGAAGAGACAATGTAATTGATGCGAGCACTTAAAGGGAAATTCATGAAGCTGTCACCTTTGCATCTTTGAAGACAGCAGCGTGTCTGTAACATAAGCTGTCCTCCAGTAAAGACCACTGCTTTGATTCAATGTTCGCAATCCCCGCACACTGGAAAATATACTGGGGGACGTTGTTGATAAACATGTGAGATAAATTCTTTCCAATAAAAGTGTTCTTCAGGTTAATGATTTGCGGAGGAGCGCATTGCTGGCATTGTGCACACAGCACCTCCCTCCAGGGGTCTCAGTAGCCAGGATCTCTAATGAGACTTGCGTTATTAATCCTTGCAATGGGGTACATGAATTCACTCCGGAGCAAAGGCTTCTGCAGCGGCGCTGGACCATAAAACGGGGAATGTATTCCTTTCATGTGCTGTGTTGATGATCTACTCTGACAACAATATGGTGGGACTTCCCTTCCCCTGTCGAGCGAGCCCTGCCCTGGGGCCAAAGAGGGTCATCTCAGACACACTTGGACTTTTATGGATGGTCAAGAAACATGCTGACAGGTCACAAGTGGGAGCTCCTTTATGAGCAGGACCTCCACATCCACCTCATTTGGAATTAGCTTATTTATAGGTGGCCAATAAATCAGCTTTATTTTGTTTTTTACTTTGCAAATGGCAAAGTTTGGAGGGACGCTTTAGGCCATGGCAGTTACAACTAGAACATTGTGGCTGTTTTAGCAAGATTTTCCCCTCAATGGGCTAGTAATCATCTGTGAAATAAAGCTGTAGCACACAATAATCAGCTGTGAATTTATTTATCTAAAGCCCGGTGCTGCACGAGCAAAATCTTTCTAAAACAAACTAGAACTTATTTTATCATCCGGTGATTTTTGCTGATCGTCTGCAAGGAAAAAAGAGAGAATTGTACTAAGAAGGTGTTGTCAGCTCAGGTGTGAGATGTTGTATTCAAATGCTGCTTCCTCTGATTTACAGATTTACTCTCTACCTTTAGAAGGATCCGGGAGCGACACAGAGTGGACATATATACACAGAGAGATATGTTTATTTTAAATCCACTTCACAGGCTCAACGGATTTCCTATTGAGGTCATTGCAAAGAGAAAGTTTTTTTTTTTTTTTTTTTTTTTTTTTTTTTTCAGAAATGTCTGTCTTGCAGGTTAGAGTAAATGATAGAACAGGTTGCAAATAATTTGTAAACTTGATCTCTGGCGTGTTTGATGCCGTCTGTCAGGGCTCAGAAGGGTCTGGGGCCTGATTGACAGGATGTGAAGCTGCGGTGCATGTTGCTCCGGTCCCCCAGTGGCCCCTGTAGCCAGGCTTTCCTGTCCCGTTTCTGACACCAGCCAATCTGCCTCCAGCCGAGACTCTCCCCCAGCTTTTCACAGATTTGTATCCCCATTTTCCCCAAATTCATCTCACCCCCTATACCCACCCCCACCTCCTTCCAGCTTTCTTAAAGACTCACACATGCACAAACCCTCCACACACACAGAGAAGGATGCAAACACTAAAATGATGTAAATAGAAGCTTGAGTTATTCTCACCCAGAGTCCTGCTCCATCACTAGGGAGCGCTGTCACTGTCCTTCGGCCTGCAAACAAGTCAGAGCTTTTATTTATTTGTAAAGTTTTTGTTTCCTTTTAAATATTTGATTCAAATTTCTCATTTCCTTTTTTTATGTGTGTGTGTGAGAGAGAGAAAGAGTGTGTTATGACTAGAGTTAGCCCAAATCAGGTATATATTAAATGTTATTTGTTTGATTTATTACCAGGCACGTTTAATTAAATCTATAGTTTAAATCTATTTATTTTTTATCTATATTAAGCCAAAAGTCATGCTTGTTTTTGTGCTATTTGGTGCATTTATATATTTATATTTATTTGTTTGTCTTTCTGTGTTTATTCATGTGTTCAAACTCCCAACAATTTCACAAAAAGAAGGGGGTTTATAACCTTTACTTTACATTTAAAGTCAGTTTAAACACTGTTTCCACTTTTTTAAAGTCTTACATTAAAATTGTACATAAATAAATTAATTAAAAATAAGCAAAGCAGGGGCTCAACATAAAAAAACGTTATTTTACAGCACCGGAATCTATTTAAAATATTGTTTGTTTGTTTTTTATTTGGGTCTATTGCAGATATTTAAGTCATATTTAATGGCATGCAATGCATTCACATATTGATTTGTTTAACTGAATAATTTCCTTTTATTAGGTTAAAAACAATAATAATAATTCTGAACGGAAATAAAGTAACAGCCGCAGCATTTTTATTCATCACAAAGCAGAAGAAAAACTGACGCAGAATAAAGTCTAATTTAATTCGCCTCTTCCTTTATCGAAGGGTGAAATGTAAAAAAATAAAAATAAAATAAAAACATGTTTGAGTTTCAGAGCTTCATTTTCAACCGATACTTTTCTTAAATGTGCCGCTGAAGAGGCGGAGAGGTCCAATTATAGGAAACAAGGTGCACATGTGACTGCGCGCGTGTTTTTCTTACAGGGTTGGAGTGTTTGCGGGGGGGGGGGGGGGGGTGTCTGAGCGGCGAGTTTACAGAAACTGTGTGTGTGCGCGCGTGTGTGTGTGTAGATGCAGCTGAAACTCGAGCTGCTTGGCGAGTTTCAGGTGCGCCATGTGCGTAATGGTGGACGCGCGCGGCTGCGGATGTGCCAAGTCCGATGTTTATCCTGCGAGGTAAAATGAACGCAGCGCTTTTACTTAATTTTGTCTGATTTTATTAGGATCTCAACTGCAGGTTGGAGCTTTATTTATTATTTTTTTTTGCACTAATATTGTTTAGATTTATAAACTTAAACTTCACCAGTTCTGATTAAAGCTCCCTCCAAACCTCCCGGAGCGTAATAAAGGTTCAAATAAAGTTTCTTTCGGGTGCAGGAGCACACTTTCTAATTGAATTGCAGCTGCGCCCCTATTGGCTGCGGAAAGGCTGAGTTCCCGCTGCGCTCCTCTCCGCAAGCTCCTCCTCTCACGCGCACAATGTGCACATTATAAGAGCCGCGGAGCATCTCTCATCCACAGCAATACCTGATTCCGAACTCTGCGGGGACGCGCCATCCTTGGTCAAAAGGGGGGAGGTAGCGACGACCCCGGGCCCCCGCCGCGGTGACACCTGCTTCGGCTGAGTCTGGTTCCCTGCACCTTCTTGGACTCCGTCAGAACTCGTCCTTTATTCAAGATAATGCAGTTGGAGAATATTCTTCCCAGCGCCAGCATCAACCTACCCAAGACCTTCTACAACCTGTCCTCCTCGGACCCCTCCAGCTCCAGCCCCAGGCCCCCCTCTCAGCTCGAGTACCAGGAGGTGGAGCGGACCGAGTCCGAACCCGGCGGCGCCAATAAGAAGTACCTGAGCGGGGTGGGCAACGGGATGCTGGGGGAGGGAGAGGGGGACGGTTTTACCAAGAACGATGGGAGGAAGGGCTCCCCGGTGCTGGGGGAGGACGAGCTGACGAGCGGCCGGCGGTACAACATAGACGAACTGGGTTCGGACAGATACTTCATCTCGTCCTCTCAGGCGACTTCCGACATGGCCAACCCCTGTTCCCTGTTTCCCTACGCAGGGCAGACGGGTTCTGTGTACAGCGGGACCGGCGGGTCCAGATACCCGGCCTCCCTGCATTACGGGTCCGTCCTCCCGCCCGCGGGTTTCTCCGCTCCGTCCGTGTGCAGCACCCGGAGCCAGTTCGGCGGCGGCGGGTACCAGTTCAGCCAGGGCCCCGGCTGCCTGTACCCGTCTTACTCCGGGACCGGGAGCGGGATCGGGTCCATGTCTCTGCCCGGGTCGGCTGCAGGGGCCCGGGCCCAGGTGTACCTGTGCAACCGACCCCTGTGGCTGAAGTTCCACCGGCACCAGACGGAGATGATCATCACCAAGCAGGGCAGGTAAACACCCGAGGCCTGCAAAAACATAAACAATAATGATGAATTAAAAAATAAACCAGTAAGTTACAAAATGAGCAGAAAGTTTCTAACCAAACGAATTAATTTGTTTTAATTAAAAGTCATTTGAACGCGAATGGATATCAGTTTTTTTTTCCTTCAACCTTTATTTAAACTGGTTAATCCCATTAATTATAATTACTTTCTATTTTGTCCAAGAGTTTTGATGAGTTCCTCTCGTGTTCCAGGCGGATGTTTCCCTTCCTCAGCTTCAACATCACCGGCCTGAACCTCACGGCCCACTACAACGTGTTCGTGGAGGTGGTTCTGGCCGACCCGAACCACTGGCGCTTTCAGGGAGGAAAGTGGGTCACTTGTGGAAAAGCAGACAATAATATGCAAGGTGGGTTAAAATAATTATAAACATTAATATTATTTGTTGTCACTAATAAAATGTTTTGTTTTACCTTTTTTTTTTAGAAATAATAAAAAAATAAAAGTTCATTTAATTACTATAAATAGAACTACAAATGCGATCAGGCTTGATTTTAATATATTTTTTTATTTTAATTAAAGGGTTTTTGAAGATTAATATTTGCTTGACAGATTATTTCATCACTGCATTTATTTATTTTTGTTTTGAGGCCTTACAGCATGAAGAGTCAGGTTTTATAGGCCCAAAATATATTTATTTGAATTTTTTTTTTTTAAGTTTTCTTTGCTATATTAAATTTAAAATATATAAAATAATTTTAAGCTTTGTTTTTTTTACATCAAATATATATATATTTACACTCAATCTAGCTTTTGAAAGATTTATTAGGCTAAAATTATTTTTCAATGTGGGGAAAGAAAATAATCTTTCCAACATTATTTAATCAGATTCAGACCTTTAAGTTGATTTATTTTTATTAAAGTCTTATTACAATGATTTTTTTTCCTTCTTTTCAGGTAACAAAGTGTACGTTCACCCCGAGTCTCCAAACACCGGCGCTCACTGGATGAGACAAGAAATCTCTTTCGGCAAACTAAAGCTGACAAACAATAAAGGAGCCAACAACAATAACACGCAGGTTAGATAAAATCTCATCTACTTGGATTAGTTTATCCAAAATTTGATTATTATTCATATTTATATAATAAAAGAAACATACAATTTGAATATTTGTTAATGAAGGAGTCAAATATGCAGCTGATCTGAGTTCTGCAAGGTAAAGTGTTATTTCCTGTTTTCAGATGATCGTCCTGCAGTCGCTTCATAAATACCAGCCTCGTTTGCACATTGTGGAGGTGACGGAGGACGGCGTGGAGGACATGAGCAACGAGTCCAGAACTCAGACCTTCACCTTCCCAGAGAACCAGTTTATTGCCGTCACAGCTTACCAGAACACAGATGTAAGACTTTTTTTCTTGTTCCGTCTCAAATGTTGCAGATATTTCAAAATGTCATTTCTCCCCAGAGCTGTCGTTTGTGCTAAGATGCAGATTATTGACACGGGATTTCTTTGGTTTCAGATCACACAACTGAAGATTGATCACAACCCGTTTGCAAAAGGCTTCCGGGATAACTATGACTCGTAGGTGTCTTGCACTTCATATGTTGTTGGTTGTTTTTTTGTTTTATTTCTTCAGTGCATGAACCCTGCAGTTATGTTTTTTTTCTTCATCTGTGAAACAGGATGTACACGGCTCCGGAAAGCGACAGGCTGACTCCATCGCCAACAGACTCTCCTCGCTCTACCCAAATCGTACCCGGAGCTCGCTACGCCATGCAGCCTTTCTTTCAGGACCAGTTTGTCAACAACCTGCCTCAGAACCGCTTCTATGCCAGTGAGCGGGCCGTTCCCCAAACCAACAGCCTTCTCTCCCCGCAGAGTGAGGACCCCAGTGCAGCTGCTTCGGCCCAGCGCTGGTTCGTGCCCCCGGTCCAGCAGCCGGGCTCCAACAAGCTCGACCTCTCGTATGAAAATGACTATTCCACCAGCAGCCTGCTGTCGTACGGCATCAAGCCTCTGTCCCTGCAGACGTCCCACGCCCTCAGCTACTACCCAGACTCGGCCTTCGCTTCCATGGCTGCAGGCTGGGGAACTAGAAGCTCTTACCAGCGCAAAATGGCCACGGGTTTGCCCTGGTCCCCTCGCCCAAGCCCCCCGGCTTTCTCTGAGGATCAGCTGGGGGCCAGTAAAGAAAAGCTACCAGAGGAGAACGCTCAACCCACCTCAACCTGGATCGAGACCTCCCACTCGCTGAAATCAGTGGACTCTAGCGATTCTGGCGTGTACTCCATGGTGTGCAAGAGGCGCAGGATGTCCCCCGGCGGCTCGAGCACAGAGAACTCCCCAACCATCAAGTGCGAGGACTTGACTACAGAGGAGTACAACAAGGACAACCCAAAAGGCATGGGTTATTATGCTTTCTACACAAGCCCCTAAGACTGTATTTATTTCAGCTGAATATAATGATTTGGTTTTGTCAGTGCTCTCCATTCCTCGTTAATGTCTTTTTTCTCTTTTCTCTAAAGGTGCCAAAGCTTAGTGTTTCCCCAAGCAAGCTGCACAAGGTTATTTTCCCAGGCCAGCCCCTCTCACATGAGCAGAAACATGCATAGTGATTTTTTTGTTTGCAAAAAAAAAAAAAAAAGATAAAAGGGGGAAAAAAAAAAAACAAGCATGTTCGATTAAATCCAATTATTTTTTTCAACTTTTTTTTTCTTTTTTTTTTTACATATGTGCATCTTTCCGCTCCCTTCTGCGTATTTAAGTCTTTTTTTGTTGTACAGTATTTGTGCACTTTAGAACGTGATGTATCTTGTACAAATTGTCTTCATGGAAGTGTTATTAAATGGAAAATAAAAATGGCTTTTCGTAAAGCGTTGTGGAAATGTCTTCCTCGGGATGTTTGATTCAAAGATGAGCTAAAAACTGCAAAAAAAAAAAAAATCCAATGTGTGCATTTAAAAAAAAGAAAAGCGACTGACAAAACTGGAGTTTTTAATTTATATTGCAAATTAATTGTTAAAGGCCATTAAACCTATTGCTGTTGAAATAACTGTACAAAAATCAAAAGCTTTAAATTAATTTATCAACGGTTTAAGGCTTTTTATGAATAATTTTTATCCTATACTGTGAAGTTTCAAAACACGTTAACGTATTTGCATAAAAGCACAAAGCCGCCCCACCATTTTTTTTTTAAATACCGTAAATAAATGCCACACAGCAGCACCGCCGCTCACAATTCAAGTGAGCAAAGGGCTATTTAAATATGAGTTTAATGAATCGTATATGACATTAACAAGAAAAGCACAAAAGCACCAAGTCCTGCTTCTGTTGGCTTTTTCACACATTTTATCATTAACTTTAATGCAACATGTGCAGCATGTATACTTGGAAATGTGAAAACGGGCGAAAAGAAAAAGGGGATCCACCAACCGTCGGCACGAGGGTAGAGTTCGGCTCGACGCCTCTATTTATACTGCTCAAACACGGCCTCTCCAAAGCTGCGTTAGTGGAGATAAAATCTTTAAAGAGGGAAGTCATAATAAGTCACTTGGCTCGTGTTTGAGGCACCTGCTTTTCTTCTGCAAAAATACCTCATCTCCACCCCTTTGAGGACCCCAATTTGAATTGATTTACATACTCAAATTCTAATTAATTCTGTTGTCAGACTCCTTGACAAAGTGAGGAGTCTGACTAACTCCAATTAACACCTCCTAACAAGGTAGAGAGCTTGATTGCCCCGGCCTCTCAGGAAAGCTGTAAGAAAAAAAAAAGGCTCTTGGGTGAGGTGGGAGGCTTGGGCCTCGAGAATCAGGAAAAGAAAAAAAGATTGTTTTCGCTTGCGCATGCCAGTAAATTGTGTTTCAGAGCAGCTGATGATGTTTTGTTTCTTCTCCTTTTCATGTCTTGACCTCTGTTGATAATTTGTTGTGGTACAGCTGTCAGGATTCTGACCGGACAGCTGTGGAAGGATGTGAGAGCGACGATCCAAGAAGCATGCTTGTCCGAAAATAGCAATGTCTCACATTTCGTTTGATTCTTTTGTGTAATTTTTTTTTTTTTAAATAGTCTGTTGCTTTAACTTTATGCTCATGCTCTGTTGCTTATTTCTGCAGTACAACAGACCCTAAACATCCCTGTTGATGTTCCTTTATAGATAAGAATCTCCAAATTTTCTGAAATTGCAATAACTGCACAACTTCCTCACTGGGGTGTATTCTCTATGACCACTAACATCATGTTAAAGATACGGTGATGCAGGTAGATTTAGACAGATTTTGTTTGTGTGGGTTTGTTGGTTAGCAAAACATTTTGAGAATCACTACACAGATTTTGATGAAACGCTGAAGAAGTAATCATTGGGTGTGAGTCTACAACTGATGAGTTTCTGGAGTTAGCAGAATTCATGATGGCTGCCACAGCCGAATGATCTTAGAAACACACAAAAAGGATATGACTCAGACAGTTTTAGGGATTTTAAGCTAAAATTTGGTTATAATAGCTGAGTGCTCTTCTCAACCCAGACTTTGAGGACCGTAGACTGTGCAGTATATTTGATTAAAACCTGAGCATTAACTATCCTGATGCATGCTCAATAGTCCAGGTAGAAAAATCTAACAAAGTTAAGTCAGGTCCTCTGAATGGATGCAAAAAATAAAAAAATGAAAAAAGTAAAAACTTGTTGAAACATTTCTTCTTTTATCCAAAAGACTTCTTCAGTCTGAGGAGCTGCAACAAACTCGGTCTTATAAATAGCACCTTCTCATAGTGGATCAACCAGATTGTTGTTGGCATCCAGAACCAGCTGCCCACATGATCAAGGAGGACCATCAGTCTAACAATTTGTTTGAACACACTGATGGCTGTTTACTATTCACAGAGGGTTGAGTGATACTAGCAATAACAGCATTGTAAAGGGGGGGGGGGGGGGGCAGTTGAACCCAGAGGCCTCCACCCCTGTTTAATGATGGACAGTTTCTTTTCACAAAGATGGCCTCCTTTACTCCTCTCTCAAACCATCGTTCCTCTCTGTCCAGGATGTGAACATCTTCATCCCTGAAAGAGTGACCGCTGACCTGGAGATGAGTGTAGACCGCAGAGTCCTGGCCTGATGATATTGATCTTCTGTGCTGGGCCATCCTTTTGGCCAGTGGCTGTTTAGTTTCCCTGATGTAAGACTGATCACCCTCCTGACACTGAACAACATACACAATATTACTCTGTTTTTGCCGGGGGACTGGATCTTTGGGATGAACCAGTCTTTGCTGTAATGTATTTTGGGGTTTAAAAGCCACTGGGACGTTATGTTTAGAAAATAAACGTCTCAGTTTCTCTGATACCCCCTCAACATACGGAATGACCACTGGTCTGGAACTGGGTTCCTCCTTTTCACCTGATGGCTGACTGGAGTCCTGTTTGGGTTTCTTCTCTGCTTTCAGGAAGGCCCAGTTAGGATATCCACATTGCTCTAGAGCCTGTTTTGTGTGGGATTTCTCCTTCTGCCTGGCTCCTGAGCTAGTGGGGACGCTGTCTGCTCTGTGGTACAGAGTCCTGACGACTCCTAACTTGTGCTCCAAAGGGTGATGGGAGTCAAACTGCAAATACTGGTCTGTGTGGGTGGGTTTGCGGTACACCTCTCTTTACAAATGTCCTCTATCAGAGACTGAGACCTCACAGTCCAAGAAAGCCAACCTGCCATGTTTTACATCTTCTCGTGTGAATTTGATGTATTTATCCACAGAGTTGATGTGGTCAGTAAAATGTTGGACTTCCTGAGATTTAATTTTAACCCAGGTGTCGTCAACATACCTGAACCAATGACTTGGTGGTGTCCCTGAAAAGGATGTCAAGGCTCTCTTTTCTACCTCCTCCATGTACAGGTTGGCAACAATTGGAGAAACTGGAGACCCCATAGCACACCCATGTTTCTGCCACAATATTGCTCCCCATATGTGAAGTAGGTTGACTGCAGGCACAGTTTCAAGAGTTGACACAGTTGTTCTGTGGAAAGTGTGGTCCTGCTGCTCAGAGTGGCATCTGATTTTAATCTTAAACTGACCACCTCTACTGCATCATCAACAGGAATGCACGTAAAGAGTGATGTGACATCAAAAGAGACCATTGTTTCATCAGTCTCCATGATGCCATCCCTCACCTTATCCACAAAGTCCATGGTGTTCTGTATGTGGTGTTCTGAGCTGCCAACTAAAGGGATGAGTACAGACACCAGATATTAGTTATTAACTATATTATATTATGTTATTACTTAGCATTAACTGTTATGCTCAACCTTGTCTGTCTGTTAGCAAAATAAATCATGAACCACTTGAGAGATTTTAATGAAAGTCTCAGAAAGTAATCGTTACAATGGATAACTTTTGGAGTCAATCTAAAACTAAACTAACCAACATTAGCCCCATTAATAAAAGCTTAAACTCGGTCAGTTTTACAGATATCTCGCTAAAGTTTGACGTGGAAGTAGCCGAGAGTCATTCACAACACGAACTCTGAGTGTGACATTTTGCAATATTACCTGAGACCCCACTAAAGTTACTTTCAGTGTTTGAGCAAAACAGCAATACCTATCAATCAATAGACTCGTTTCCTCCAGAAACCCAACTCGTTAAGATTCTCTCGAGCTTCATATTCTTAGTATCTGACCAAGTTTGTTGCATTGATGTCCAGAAACCAACTACCAAGTGATATTGGCACCATGCACCTGAAAGGACCAGTGGGTGGTTTATAGGTTTCATGTTTGTGAAATTCAATCCTCTCTTCCTTGTTTCATGCATGTGCATGAACCGTGGCATGTCTTTGCCCTTCCCTCAGGCCACCCTTTGGTCTCCACGTTGAGAGGAGTTTGTGTAAGAAGGCTATGAAGATATTGTACCCAAGGAGGGCTGACATCTAAACACAGATGAAGGCCTGAGGCTGTTTCCTCACCTTCAGTCACACACTATTACTGCTCTCACTGACTAAATGCAGCCACAGGGAGACGCGTGTCTGGGTCAAGATTTCCTCCATGCCCCCTTGAAAAAAAAAAGAAAAAGAAGTAATGGATGTCAAGCACGATTGAGACAGTAGCAATTATGTTTCCTCTTCACACTATATTTTCTATTCTGATGTCTTGATAAATGTCACCTTTCTTAAATGATTATCAAGCTTGTTAGAATTGTGCAGAATTGTTCCTCGGGGACTAAACGAGTCTCATGTGGCAATGCAACAGCGTGATGCATTCACTTGCGATCGTGTTAATCACTTTTCTTTTAAAGAGGATTGGTATTAAGATATCTTGAGGTTAATGTCAGTAGTCTACACGAGTCAGACCTGGTTGTTATAATAGTGTCTGAAATGACGCACAGACTTTTTTTCTGATTATGACCACCAAGGACAAGGATCCAAGCCTTATTAATGCCTCCATTGTAGCCAAACAACTTTGAAT